TAGAGGAAAGGGACATCCTCCAGTGGCCAGATCACTTGGTCCCTTCACCATGAGAGGACCAGCATGGACACAGCAGCCTCCTGTAGAGAAATACTGTATTCTGCCAGTGCCTGCAGGAGATATGATGAAAATGCACACAGGAAAAAATGAATCCTTTTAGTCAATTTGGAATGAGGATTTCAGATGGGATGGAGGGAGTCTATCGACACGTCAATCCGTGCACCACGTGTGCCGGGGAGCCAGGGGAGTACCGAACAGAGCAGAAAGCAAGAGCACTTGCAGTGTATAAAAATATAATTTCAAAGTCTTCCTGTTGACCTCAGTGGATGCCAGATTCTTGTACTTTGACTTCAGCTTTTGTTGTCCACTCGTTTGCCCCAGGGCGTTTAGCAGCTCAGCTGCAGGGATGGACAAATCTTCCCTATGCACATGCCAATTGATGTGTGTTTGACAGCAGCTCTGACTTCAGTAGGGCATCTCTATCAGGAAATCCGTAGTGCTTTCCTCTTACACGGCATGTTACGGCGGTCTGGAAAGATGTGGGGGAAGGAAAGCAAGAGGTAGCATTCCCAAGCCAACACCGCGGCTCTTTGCGGGTGGGTCCAGGCAGCTGTGGGCCTGGCTGCCCAGTGCCCCGAGCTCGCTGGACATGTGGGAGCTCTGATCCACCCACGGGTGTCAGGTCTCCTCCCTGACCATGCCATCATCCTGCCTGGGAGCAGCGTGGGCATCTCACCCCACGCCGACTCCTGCGCAGTGCCAAGAGCCCTCCCAAACCTCTCTGGAGTCACCAGGCCCTCACTTTGATCTCCGAGTCCTCTGTGCCATGTCATCTTAATCCATGGAGCCATGCAACCCCTAGTGATAAATTCATCACTTAGTCAATGGCATTCCTCCTAAAATCCTCTTCAGGGAACAATTCTCCTATGTCTGATACAGCGACTAATTGATAACTTTCTTTAAGGGGACTGCACGATAACTTTCTTTAAAGCAGTATATTATAATCAGTGGGTTTTCCAAGGAGCGTGCTGCTCTCTTAATTCTCACCTTCATTATTTTAATGCCTCTGTAAAATGGATTTCTAATGGATCTATATTGCCATAAAACTTTAGGGATGGTGGGTGGGTGTCAATAAATTCTTTGCACTCAGAGCGACTCTGCCAGGCAGGCAGGGAGCAGAGTGACAGGCTCTGAGGAGAAGCCAGGTCTTGACTCCGGACTGCAGCTTCCAGCAGCGTGACCTTCCCTGATTTGACCCCATCCTGCTGTCTCTGAACACCTTGCAAAACTTCATTAAGCAACATGACTAGTATCTGTCACAAGCAATTCTTTCTCTCCCACCTCCTCACCCCAGGGATAAATCGTATCAGCTCTGTCAGGAATACAGAAGCTGCCCTAGGTACAATCCAACCCAACATGCTGATACCTGGTAAGTCAGTGCAGAATAATAGTCATCACATCAAAGAATTTTCACCCAAAGATCCCAAGACAGGTAATAAATGTACATTATATTGGCATCAACCCTCTTCAAAATGTTCTCTGCCACCAACGGGATGGAAGGCAGCAGCTGCTATCCCCAGCTTAATCAAAGAAAAAGAAGTGGATGTTATGGCCCTCCAAAAATATGAGGAGATTTTAGGGAGGTCAAATTATTCCTATGATGATTAGCCAGGACACTGAGAAGAACTTTTACCATTGGATCCATCACCTGGTCTCACACAAACTGCTCAAGAATCTTATTTCTGTCTCATCCAGGTTCTTGGGCTACAATAACTAATTTTTACCTTGGACATTGAAGTAGACGGCCCAGCAATTGCTTGGAAGCAAGCTGCAGCCATAAGCATTTGCCATTCTGCCATCCTTTGCCCTGAAAAAGCCCCCAGGAACAGGAGGTGTTAGAGCGAGGGTGATGCCTGCACTGCCGAACGCGCGGGGGGTACAGGAGTCTTCTACCAGAACTGTAGGAGACTGAAGTCAGATGTGTTGGCTTGTTTTGTTACTGGCATCTGAGGTATATCGGAGTCCTGCTGCAAAACCCCACCAGAGGCTATTGCTAGTCCTAAGAAAACGGTGTTCAGCTGCCACTGGCATTGCGGAGGCAGTATGCGAGCTGTGCCTGGCCTGGACACTTGGGTTTCTTTTTTTTTCCTTAAGTATTTGCAAGTTCTTTAACTGCTGTTTTGATAACTGGTGGGGTGCTAGAAAATATTTTCCTCCATACCACTTGTTTCAGAATAATTTTTGTCCCTTTGTTTTTTCATTCTGGTGCAGTTGTTTGAGCTATCCATGTCAAAAAAGGTCAGGCTGATATATACAGCAAATTCACCTTTCTGTGGACTGCCTCTGACTCTGCTTTATTTCCATCAGGATAAGAGACTTGCAAATAGGTAGGAAAACCAAAAGCATCTTGAGTTTTGAGCACATCAGGAAAACAGCTCCACTGCTTTCCATACATGCATGAGGCTGTGTGTGGGATGAAGACAAAAATCAACAATCTGAAGGAGACTGAACAACAATTTTCTGAAAGGCCTTTTCAGCAAAGCAGCACTGGCACCTTCCTCCCAGTTCATTGAAAGGTTGGGTAATAGTTTTTGGTTTTTTCTTTTTTTTTTCTGCTGTAGGGTTTTTTTTTACAGACACTTGGCTTGGCATCCTCCCCACGCCCCCCACGCCCCCCACCCCCCCACCCCCCACCCCCACTCCCCCTCCCCGTCTGCCTGCCAGTTCCAGATGTAACACCTTCAGTATTTCACTGGGGTTTTGCACACTCAGTGGTGGGTTTTCTGTAACATCTGCAGCCATCCCTGGAAGATGAGCACTCTCTTTGCCACTAGAACAGTCAGTGTCTTCCCTCTGCTTGTTCCAAACCCCCTTGTACCAATAAATGATGACCATGAAGGTAAAAACCAGAGCAAGAGAAACTTATTATTGGAAATACTTTTATTCTCAGAAGCACGATGGGAAACTTGCATCTCTGCACATTTCTCCAGCCTATAGACTTAACTCGGGTTGCTGCACTCACATGTTAACCTCTAAAACGCTGCTTTCTCTCCCCCAAAGTAAGCTATAGGGTAAGCTATAGGGTCAATTCCTGGACTATGCCCCCTCTGTTCAGGGCAGATTATGTATTTAATGTTAAACAGCTACTGATAATAAGAAGAATGTGTTATTGCAGCTGCTCTGTGCTGTGGCAAGTAGTCATGCGCTTCTTGCTTGCTTTTTGGCCTCAGGACACTTGTGTTCTTGTTTATACAATAGCTCTGCTTGGAGAGCAAGAATAAAATATACCTTGTTTTTCCCCCTTACCAGATTGCTGTTTAGCATCGTGCTACATCTCTCTCGTGGGTAATACAGGTTAGAGGCTCTCGGTTTGGGGAGGGAATTGAATCCAGATGGTACGTTTTCTGGGCAAGTGTTTGAAGAATTTGGTGGTCATAGAAAAAAGGAGAACCAGCTCATCCAACTCAGGGTTAATAGATGGGCTTTCAGACTCTGGTGATGATGCTCAACGCAGTGTGTTTGCTGATGTTAAGTGTCTGTGCCAGAGATCGGGAGGAACCCGGGGTACCAGGGTTTCAGGAGTCCTTTCTGCTCTGGACCAGTGCCACGGAGAGGATAGTTCATAGCTGCCTCGAGCTGCCTCGGTGCTGGTTGTCTCACATCAGGGCACGGTCCCACCCCATGGGCAAAAAAATGTTATTCTTTTTGCATGAAAATTTGGGGAGAGAAACTTATTACAGTGTTTTTCCATTAAAAGTAGGATCTGTAAGTTCATTTAAACATTCACCCTAAAGCTGCAGTTTGTTGGTAGGGTGGCCAGGAGGGATGTGTTTGCATCCTTCAGAGGGAATGGACTCGATGCGAGTGTCTTGCACATCCGTAACTCCTTTGGAAACCTGGGGAAGAGCCTGTTGTGTCCTGGGTCCTGCCCTCCCAGTGAAGCTTTATATATAAAACCCTGCCTTTGAGCATCACTTCAGGCAAGGGAGAGCTTTGGAGGTGTAGTTTCATCTTGTGTGTGCTCTAGGAAATCTTGTTGAGCATCAGACACTGGACTCTCTTTCAGGCATAGGGTTGCATTTGTCATTAAAGCATGCCTAGTGATGGTGTTGGGCTTTGAGAATAATTTTCTATGTTCTTGCTATTGCTTGGTGCAAGAAGTGCTTGGTGACTGTTTTGACCCACTTCTGTACTCGGTTGGATCACAGAAAAATAAGCAAGATGTGGAAAGTCTACAGTGGAGGAATACCTTGCCTTGGTGTGGTTAAGCCATTCCAACACAGCCTTGAAAGCGTGAAATCCTCTGCTTAGCTTAGCATTTGTCAGTCTCAGCAAATAAAACACCACATCTGTGTGAGCGCCTGGTTCTTTGTGCTTGTACCCATCCATTCAACACAGCCAGCCCCCTGTGAACATTTTGGTCACAGCCCTTTCCCCGAGACATGGGCGTATGGGGAAATTTGAGGTTTACAAGGCAGTGGTGCAAGCACAGGAATTCCTCCTCCTCTGCGGGCAGTGAACCTCTGGCATCATATGTCCCTTTTCCTTCCTTTCCCACTAGCTCACATCTGTTCTTACTCATGTGTGACAAAAAAAAAAAAGACTACCTGAGCGCTGGGGGGAAGGAGAGAGTTCAAAGGCAGCAGTGGATGCCTGAAGCGATGGCTCCCATGCCGGAGCAGCTCTGGATGGAAAACAAAGCTCGAGGAGAAGCCTGTGCCCCGCCGGGGTCCTGCGACGGTGGCTCAGCTCAGGCCGGGGGCTCTCAGGGGCCAGGTGGACAGTCCGAGGTGCCAGGAGGCACCAGCCGCTGCAGAGCCTCAGCCCACGGCACTGGGCGTGCAAATGCAGCCGGGATCTCTGCGAGCTCCCCCGGAGCACAGCCAAGGGAGCCGGGAGGGCAAAACCCCAGAAGGAGACTGATGCAGGGGGAAAACCATCAAATTTGTATCAGATAAAGCCTTGTATTTAATGGTAAAAGAGCTCAGGCAAGAAGGGAATGGTTTACTAGAATGCATTTTTACTCGTTACAGATAGTATTTTAAAACATGGGTATCAAAACACAACGGGTTCTCTGTGTCTGTGTGGCTGAGGTTACATCATGCTTTTTATGGTAATTTTGCCAGGGCCAAGAAAACATATTAGTACACAAATCACTTTCAGTTTTATTCCATTTTGACATTTCAGGGTCTCCAGCAACTTGGCATCACTCTGTGGAGCCAGCCATTGGAAATATTTGTGTGTTAAAAGTGTGTTTTGAATTACAAATATTTGCACATTCACAACACATAATTTAGGGCCACATTTGACCAGGAACATTCCTCTGTGCAATTTCCAAGCAGAGTTTTTGGTCTAGGGCAACCTCCTGTAGGTACGAGTATGAGGACACTTGTCCCATACGCAGGTGAAAATGGCTTGATCTGTTCTGCTTCTCTGGGGTTGTCGGCTTATCAGAAGAGCAAAATCTCTTTCGAAATAAGCAGTGTGGCAACCTCCTGCTGCTCTGGGGCGGTCTTTGTGGGAAGGAGTCTATAGGTGCTGACCTACATTTAAGCAAGAGCAAGCAGGGAGCTGCTCTGGCTTCTCCTGCAGCAGCATCGGTGCTGCTCTTGGGATTGCACAAGCCAATCACCCCAATCCAGGTCTGCCACCATCATGGTGTATGAATTCACTCCTGGTGAAAGGTGCCAGACTGATATTCAAAACGTGGGAAAAAAAAGCCTTGTTCTTAATAATTTTTTTTCCTTTCTTTGTGCTGATGAAGTAGAATGGGACATTTAAATCTGATTTTTATAACATTTATAACATATCTATAGATCACGGTCTGACCTGGAGAAGACACTTTGTTCTGACTACAATGATCTGATATTTCATATTTTATTATTTTTTTGTCATCCACGTAGTATTTCTGTTGAATTCTGGCACAATATGGGCTCCCTCCAGTGGTCAAGGGACTCTGGGCTCCTGCTGCCACTAGCCCAGGCGCCGGAGCTGGCAGGGTGGCTTTGGTGCACGGCATCACAAATCTGAATAGAAATCATATTGGGACTGTACTTTTCTTATTTTCCCCCCATCTCCTGCTGTGTGTGTCATCCCACTTGCAGTAGTAAACGCCCTGCTCTGTAACCCACATTCAATTAATATTTAAGTGGAACGGCCTGCACAAATAAAGATTCAGGCTTTAGATTTCCTTGCAGTTCCCAAAATGTTCACTGCAGAAGGGGGAGAGGAAGCAGGAGAGGAGAGAGATCTGCTGAAAGACCCAGACACAACAATTTTTAGCAAAAATGACTCATTTTGCATTCCACTCTCCTCGTGGTGCTTTTGAGAATAGATCCTGACATTCTCCTCAAACCTGCAACCAGTTAACGTGGTTATTGCGGGGGGGGGGGGGTGGTGGGGGTAAACCGGTTCCTCTGGAATGCTGCGTGTCCATCTCCCCCCTCCTAGGTACGCAATTCCTAGCGGTTCCCCCCGGGTTGATTAGCCGCAAGTTCATTTAAAACATTGCAATGTTTTAAAAAAAGGCATCCCCTCGGCGGGGCCAAGGCAGCACGGGGGGGGGGGGGGGGGGCTGGCCCGGGGCGCTGGCAGGGGGGCTGGGCCGTATCTATAGGCACACCTATGGCCTAAACCGGGCGGCTACATGCACGTATGTGTGGATGTGGCTGTGTCGCTATGCGCGTTCGGGCACATACAAAGCGCCCGGGTGTCTTTCCAAGGGCGAGGGACCCCGTCACGCCGGGGAGGGGGGGGGGGGGCGGCAGCACCCCTGGGTGCAGCAGCACCGTGTTTAACCCCCCCCCCCCCCCCCCCAAACCTCCTCTTCACCCCCCCTCCCCCCGCCGGGGCTGGCCCCTTCCCCGTGCCCGCCCGCCCCAGCTGAGCCCGCCGGGGTCTCTGCAGCGCGGGGAGGGGGCGCGTGTGAATGCACCGACATCCATTTTGGGGAGGGGGGGGTGGGAGTCCCTCTGCCAGGGGCAGCGCTCCCTCCCCACCCCCCTCCCCGCGGGGCGGGGCGGGGCGCAGCGGCGGGCAGGGGGCGGGGCCGGCAGGGGGCGGGGCCGGCAGGGGGCGGGGCCGGCAGCGCGCGGCCTCGCCGCTCTTTGGCTCCGGCCGCCGCGCTCATTTGCATGTGGCGGGGGCTCCCCTGTCACGTGGCCGCGCGCGGGCCGGGCGGGGAAGAGGCGGGCGGGGGGGGGGGGGGGGGGGGGGGGGGGGGGCAGACTTCCTGTTTGAGGTCAGCGCGGGGAGGGGAGGGGGGAGCGCGCGGCGAAGCCTCCCCGCGGTCTCGCGCTGCCTGGCGGGGCTCTTGTCAGTTAGCAACAAAATGGCCGCGGCGGCAGCAGCTCTGCTCCCGAGGACGGCGGCGGCGGCGGCGTCGGCAGCGGCAGCGGCGGCGCGGAGGAGCGGGGGACCGGCCCGGCAGCACTGAGCCTGGCACCGCCTGCCTGCGAGCGGACGAGGCGAGAGCGGCGAGCGGGAAGAGACGGAGAGAGGCGCTGCGGCCCCCCCAACCCCCCCCCCCCCCGCCCCTCACCTCAACTCCCTATCCAGCCTCCGCCGGCGAGCCCGGCGTCACCCACCGACTGCCCGAGGCGCTGCTGCAGCCCCCTGGGGATACGCTGCCGCCTCGGCCCACGGCCTCCCCCCGCCTCCCCCCTGGGGGCTCGGGCGCCCGGGTCCCTGCCCCCCCCCTCCCTCCCCTACCCCGGCGAGGGGCTCCGCTGCCGCAGCCTCCTGCCGCCCACCCCCCGCCCGGAGCCCCTGCCCGGATCCCACCGGAGCGAGCCCGCGGGATCTCTCTGCTCCTGCCCCCGGATCCCCAGTGCGAGCGAGGCAGACAGACTGTTGGGTTTCCCCCCTCCCCCCGTCGCGCCCCCCCTTGTTTCCCCCCCCCCCCCCACCCCCCGATCTGTGAAAGACTTTGCTGGATCCTCCTACCCGGCTCCCCTCCCCACGCTCGCTCCTTCCTGCGAGAGAGGCTGCTGGATCCTCCTCCCGCCGGAGAGAGACTGCGGGATCGCTCCGCTGGGTCCCTGCGAGAGCCGCGGATCCTCCTCCCGTGAGAGGCTGCTGCGGATCCTCCGCCCTCCTCGGATCTCCTCGGAGCGAGAGACTCGGCGGGATCCTCCTCCTCCTGCCCGGAGCCCCATGTGAGACTCCGGATCCCCCCGTGGCTCCGTGGCGGTGTGTGTTTGGTTTTTTTTTTTTTTGTGTTTTTTTTTTTTGTTTGTTTCTTTTTTTTTTTTTTCTTTTTTTGAAGAGGGGGATCCATCTTAAAACTATATTCTGGGTCCCAGTTTCTCTCTTTAATTTGCACTTTTAAAAAAACCCTCAGATGCTCCTCCATGTGGACTGAGAACCCATCAAGATACACACACGAGAACTCATCCCGATCAACTCCAAATCCTGGCTTTTGTGGGTTTTGCTGCAACACATAAAAACAAACTTGTATTTAAGACACACTCGTGCAAAAATTTAGCTGGGGACTATAAGGTGTATTTTGTCTTGTTTTCTTGGTCTTGGTTTTGTTTTGTTTTCTGTTTTTTTTTTTCTTTTTTTTTTTTTTTTTTTTGTGCTTCACTGGAAATCAGAAGCTTGTTTTGGAATTGGACCTGCTTTTGCTGCACTTCTCCTCTGGGCTGGATAACACTGAAGCTCTTTGCTTTTCTACTTGGATAGTGTTTTCCTGTTGATCTGTTGTTTTTTTTTTTTTCTTCTCCTGTGTGGCAGACTTTTTTTTTTTTTTGGGGGGGGGTAAACGACAACAACAAAAAAAACTTAATTTTTTTGGCCGTGTGAGATTTTTTCGTATTCAGATTTGTGAAATTACGGGTACACTTACAAAAAAAAAAAAAAAAAGAAGCATTAAAATAAGAAAGGAACACGTCAGAAAGACCCCTACACGGTAGACAAAATACTCACTTGTTTCCTTACAGCAAGACTGAATCGAAAGCTGCCAAAGAGCCCCATAAAGAAAAGACTAAAAGGTAAGAAGGGGTATTAGCCTTTCTTAATCTGGGCATGGTAGAAGTTAGCAGTGGAAGAGACCTGCCAAGTCAGTGCATACCTCCTTTTCTCAGAAGTCTGAACCAGAATTTTTTTTTTTACTGTTGATCAGTCAGCAAAACAAGTAACACCCCAAAACATTTCAGAATCCATTTATTTTTATCGTATATTTTTTTTTTTGCTTTAAACAATTTGCAGAAATATTTTTTTACATCCTAGAATTAATTCAGTATTTTTCTACTTACCTTTTCCCAGTTCAAATAGCTCTTATGTGCAAAATAGCCAACAGAAATGCCATTTGTGAGTATGCTGTGCCACTCTAAACATTAAGACCGCTGCTGTTGCAGACATGAAAGTCTACACGGTCATGCTTTATAACCTAACACGTGTGAAAATTATTGCAGAGCGTGTTGGAAATGATCCTAAGTCTGGAAAATGAGTGGTATAGGTATGGTCAGGAGCGCTGCTCTGGTCAGTGAGCAGATGAGGCTCCAGCTCTGTCCTTCATGGCTGCTTTCTGTTAAAAGCTAAGATCTCTAGATCTGGGTTTTTTTCCCCTCTCTCCCCCCACGTAATGAGATTATGGGGATCAACTGTAATTTTCTCCTGAGTATTCAGAGAGATACCTTGTCCTGAACCTGAAATGTCCTGCAGTGGGAGAGTATTAAGGAGTTCATGCTTTTAACTGCGACGCTGAAGGGGGAGAAAATGGGGAGGGTTCAGTTGTTAGCCTGAGAAATCTTGAAACACTGGAAGTTTATTAATTGTTTGAATCTTCTCTGTATCACAAGTTTGTGTCAAAGGTTAATCTTCTTAATATGTAATTAGTTGAAGGTCCAATTATGGGATTTATTGAACTCGGTTGTTCCCCCCCCACCCCCCCTTTTCCATTAAATATAATACTGCTAGTCTTACTTTGTGGCTGCTTTATTTTCTGCTACAACTCGAGTGTATCTGTGGGAAGATACTTATTAAATTAATATAATAGCCAGTTTAAATTTAGAACTAATCTTTAGTACGTCATACCCATGTGTTGCATTTTTTTCTCTCGTATGCATATGTATGCATCTGACGAATTTACGCTAATTTATATACTGAAATTTGCTCTGGACATTAGGCCAGTTAAGGTAATTAAAAATCCAATAAATCCCGTTGTTAGTGGGCTGCTTGATGATGCAGAGCTTTAAATCAGGTGGATGTCGGTAGTGCTCTGTGGACCTGAGGACAATGCGAGTGTAGAGGAGCAGGATATCTGCACTGCTCTTGGGTATTACTTCGGAGGAATGTAATATCTTCAAAATCTTTCCCAAATTACATACGGTGGGTGGGTTTTTTGGATTCACCTACAACTGAGAATTAAAATGCAGTTTCCTATCGGATATTAATTTTCTTATCAAGAAAGTAGTGGAAGGACACGCCGATTCTCACTGCTTCCCCTCGATGTTTTCCGTGGAAGTAGTCGGTGACTTGCAGTGGGTGCAACCTGTGCTTAGCAAATCACATAGTTTTCCATAATTGCGGTTCCCCAAATTCGGAAAGCCCTCGGATATCTGTGTGGCTACTTCAGTGTGTTATTTGTAAACTCAAAATGGTGTGCTGAGCACCTGCCCCCGGACGCACGTTCCTTCAGCTCCGGCTGTTGGAGTTATTTCCAAGACGTTAAAGCATCCATGTCAGACTTCTTGTATACAGCTAACGCGAAAAACTGCTTTAGCCTGTGGGAGGCTTGCTCTTTCGCTTGTAGGTCCGATGTTGCTTTTTTAGGGGGGAGATTACAGAGGCCGCGTTATGCACGGGTATTGGGTAACCTTGCTGCTTGTGAATCTGACTACCGAGTCTGGGAGGAAAGCTGGAGCAAATCAGATTAATTTGAACTCTCTTTAGTGGGCATGACTGTTTAAGGGGACTAGCAGGAATGTAATAATGCCTCGCGTCGCTTTGTCCTTATCTTCAAAGGAGAGCGTATCTTTTCTGGCTCGAAGTTACCTGCCTGGCCCGTGGCTTGTGGAACGGGAGTGGCTGGGCCTGGGCACAGCCCCGCAGCGCCTTAACGGGGGCTGTATTTGGGGCAAAATTCGGTACTTCCTGACTAAGTATTCTGTTTGTAGTAATGAAAAACTCAGGGCTGCATAACCTCTTTTTGTTTAGAGCTCTTCTGGATTGCAGTATAAAATATACTTAGGATTTATTAACGTTTCTGGTCTCTGTATGTGAGGATTCTCATATTGACAAGTATAAGTATCGGTATGCACCAGACTAAAAGCTGCCTTGAACTGGGCGGTGTATTATATGCGGTTGGTTTATGTATGCTGTTACAGTACATGGATTATTTGGTAATTAGGCTGTCATTGATGCAGGGCGTTAGTCCCACTTACTAGGAATGTACTTGTGAGGAGCCTTGGTCTGTGCCATTTCTGTGCTAGTACAAAGCATAGTGACATTTACTCTGAGACGCTGCCCTTGGGTCTTGATTGTTAAGAAGCATTTTTGGTAACTCAAAAGGTTCACCCTCTTGACCTGATATCTTTGCATCTTTAGAAATCTGCTTCTGATCACCTGTGAATGGGATGAGGTTTACTTCATCTGCTGTTGCAAAGCCGGCTGAAGCTTGCTGGGATAAATGAAAAATCCACTTCTCTGGTTTAATTTCTTTTTTTTTTTTTTTTTTTTTTTCCCCCGGGGTTTTTGTCTTTCCTATTAAAATAACAAGCGATGCTTTTGATGACTTTTGTGATCTTTTGCTTATGTTTTAGGGAAGGAAGGTAATTACATCCTTTTTTTTTTTTTTGTTCGAAAAAGCTTTTTAAGACTTGAAAAATAATAGGATGAAATTTCCTTAGTATGAGAAGTAAC